GATACGACACCACCAGCTCCGACCACGCTGGATGTTCAAAACGCCTTGAGATTTGGGTGGAGCACTGCCTGCTCTGACCCACCACCGGCGCAGGCTCGGGGGGCAGTTCGGCAGGGGGGATGCGCTATTCTCTGGCGCGTCGCTCTCTCGGCGAGATCACCGTCCTTCGCCGCGGACCTCGGCCGTCGCATGGCTGGGAGAACGCTGTGCCACTGCTACTTTCCTGACGGTCTACGGCCACGTGGAGGAGGTGGACAGAGGGTGGTTCCAGCATGCCTTCGAATACTTCCAATCACTGAGACACATGGGCCATCCAGTCTACGTGATTGGTGATATCAATTGGCGCCCTCTCTACTCGGCCTTGACCGCGCGATGGCACGCGAGGACTGTGCGACAGGGCGCGGAGCCCTCCGCCACGGCAGCAGGTACCTGTCCAACGAGAGCCCTGCTGCGGGGAGAAGGAGCTGCACCAGAGCAGACCACGACGCATTCGTCACCTGTCTGAGGCGCCAAGCCTCGTATACACCTGAGCGCAACGCCAACGACGGGGAGAAAGCTCTACTCCAAGAGCTGCTTGACCAACAGGTGGGCCCGCCCCGCTACATGAACGACGCTGCCGACCCACCGCTGGTAGAGCGCTGGCACTACCGGCACAAGAGGGCGGAGAAGGCAATGCTACTGGCAGTCGAACGAGGATTGCTCTCAGTAGAATGTGAAGCGGAACGAGACAAAGGTTCTCAGCCTACCTCGCGCCCGACTTCCCACTCGCCGGCCCAGACCCGACGAGACCATAGCATTGCGACGCCTCCGTCGACTACACCGACGTCTCGCCGAACACCTGCGCCAGGGTTCTCCAGGTATTGCTAAGCTGGAGCCGAAGCACTTCGCGCAGCTGGCTGCCGCGGCCTTCGACGGACTGGCTTGGGTCACCGCAGTTGGCATGCCCACCTACTCGGACACGCTAGACTGGATCTCGCAGGGAACCACTGTCGAGCAGGCTCAGATGCAGAAGAGGACTACCGCACAGTGGCGACAGTGTTTCGTGAGCTGGAGCAACGAAGTGTGGAAAGCAGCGACCCCTCTCTTCAAGGGTGGCCAACCAGCACCAGCCCATGCGGCAGCAGACATGCGAGAGCAGTGGGCCAAGCACTGGAAGCCAGAGAACTACGACAACACGGGCTACGTCGCCGCCTGGAGGCAACACGCCTCGGCCGTGGCCTTCCCGAAGTCTGCGTACCCGCGGGGCTGGATGCCGTCTCGCGACACCTTTGTGCACGCAGTCCGTCAAGCTAAAGGTTGCCCAGGACTCGACGGCTGGGCGAGTCGTGAGTTGAAGGCGTTGGAGAAGATCTACCCCACCGTCATCGAAGAGTTGTACGAGTTGTGGGGAACGACGTCTCAAGAGGCAGCTGCATTTCATTGACGGCTACCTCCAGCAGTATTGCGCGCTATCTTTTCCTGGCGTGTTGCTGGCATGCCAAAGAACGAGGAAGCCACCCGACCTATCTCAGTCGGGTCAGTGCTGTCGCGCGCCTGGCTTCGGGCGCTCTCGACAGCCTCAGCTTCTCCTCCAGACGTGCAGTGGGCCAATCGCAGACATGCGTCGGTGGTGCATGCAGTGTCAACGTGGCTGAAATATTGCTCTGGAGGACAGTGCGGCGCGGAGATGCACCTCTCGGCGGCCTTCGACCAGGTGGACCACGACCTGGCTTTGGAAGCGGCTGACCACTCAGCCATGCCATACGCAGTAATGTATACATGCTACGCCGCGTGGAAGGGCCCGCGGACTTGTTGCATCCAAGGTGAGCTCGCTCCACCACTGTATCCGTGCAGAGGCCTACCTCAGGGTGACAGCACGGCTCCATGTACGCTCATACCGACGCTGGTGCCATCGGTACCGACGTCTCAAGGCCATGCCTTCATGGGCGACAGAAGTTTGGTTGCCCAGAACACCGATGACCTCCACGCTGGCTTGCAGATGGCCCAGCAGTTCGACACGTCCATCGGCTACTGCGAGAACCAGAGCAAGAGGCAACGCTGGAGTTTTGACGACCCTGTTCTCGCTCAGGTGGAACATCCCGGCACCCTGGCAACGCCCGCAGACCACGCCGCCCCCGTGCTCCCGAGGGGCGGCTGGCAGAAGCTGAGACGCATAGAATAACTGCCAGGCATGTCCGTGCTGGGGGCCACGCCTGGCAGTTATCCAGTACGCCTTCGATTGGCATGCGCATGCGTGAGGCCCCTGTGGGCTTGCACTGCCCATTGCGACGCCACCTCGACGACGTTTCGCCAGACTGCTGCGCAGATCTTTTTTGGGGGGCAAGCTCGAACTGGCGGCGTTTTGGCCGCTATTGGGCACCATTTTTTATTGCGCCCAGGGCACTCTGCAGCTGTTCTTGGATTTCAAAAGCTGATTGATGGGGGGCTGGTCTGTCATGGCACCCTGGACACGACGCTCTCAGAGTACGCACGGGTATTTGGGGCTCTCTTTTATCCGATATTCGCCCGCGCAGGGCGCAGTTCTACAAGTCGACTCGCCTGGCGACATCAGGACCCGCGATGCAGTTGAACGGCTCGCGGGCGACGACTGGGCGTTCACCGCCAACAGCAAAGCTGCCCAGCGCGCCCTCAGAAGCATGACGCGCATCCGTTGTCTCCAGCAAGTGGTGCGCACAAGACGCGGCGCAGAGGAGATCGATGACGTTGATGTCCACGCGCATTGAGGCAAAGCGCATGACAAATGATTCAGTTCGAGGAAGATCGCGCGTTGTAGGCGGTCTTCAGATCAGGGGCGGCGACATCAGAGACACGCAGAATAACAGGACTACCGTGCAAGCGCCGCGGGGCAGTGGCCCCGAGTTTCCGCCGGTCTTCCGCTGAGTGCCCGCGTCGCGCGCGAGAGCGAAGACTTTTGGAAGACCGCTATTCTGCGCCCTTGGCTCTCTGGACGAGCGCGCCCCGAGTTGCGAGCAAGAGCGGTTGGATTACGCTTTCGCAACATGACTACTGCGCGTGCGAGGATGCCGACGGCGAGCCGTGCTCTGGGACTCAGTATTTTTCAGGAAGGAAGAGAAGATATGCTTACCGATGCAACGCCTATCCCAAGGTCAAGGCGACCACTTGCATGGCAGGCGCAATGACTCAACATGTATGATATTATCCCTTTAGTGACAGGATATGTCATTTCAACTTTTGTCTTCTCTGTGCAAAGCCATGGTAGGCGTCATTGTGGATGCCGTTTTTGACCGCGTCCACCCGTTCCCCTTTCGCCTTCCCAGCCCCAACAGTTGACGGTCTCCGTAGAGCCGAGTGCGAGTTATGGGCGCTCGAGGTCTGGCAAATTGTTCAGTTTCAGTTGTCGTGATTCGTTCGCTGCCGCTGCTGGCCACCGTCGCTGGATGACAGATAGCATGGCTCTGCAACTATGGACGGGTGGGGGACCTCCGACTTGTCCTGCGAACGTGTAGGGGGTGCAGCACAGAGTCCGTTCCATTTCGCTCAAGTTTCCCGCCCTGTCTCTCTGGTGCTCGACTTCCCGCCCTAGCTCACGGCGGGCCGCGAGCAGTCTTGAGCGGTAAAGTGTTCAGTTTCAGTTGTCGTGATTCGTTCGCTGCCGCTGCTGGCCACCGTCGCTCACGATTGGGTTTCACACCACATGCGGATAACAGATAGCACAGCTCTGAAAGTACGGACGGGTGGGGAACCTCCTGATGATGCTGACGATGCTGATGATGACGTTGACCATGGTGCTGACGATGACGATGTCGATGATGTTGATGATGACGCTGATGAAGATGACGATTGTGATATCGATGATGATGTTGATGATGCTGCTGATGGTGTTGGTGCGGATGATGATGCTGATGATGGTAGTTATGATGAATATGATAATGACGGGGCTGATGATGCTAATGGCGATAATGATGGCGATTGTGATGGCGGTGGTGATGATGATGTTGATGTTGATGCTGATGCTGCTGATGATGATTAAGGTTGTTAATGGTGGTGGTGATGTTGATGCCGAGGGTGAAATGGCCCAGGAAGAGAAGGACGATAACGGCCTTAACATGTGGCACCGATCGTTTTCACCCTTGAAGGAGCTTCCATGGAACTCGTTTGGGCGCCTTGGGGTGACGCAGTCTTGCGGATCGTTTTTTATGCTCTTTGTGGCTCTCTTGGGGCTCCCTTTGGCCGTAGTGGGGCTCTGTTGGTTCGTCTTGGGGCCTTTTTCGGCGTATGGTGGGTGTCTGGGGGGCCGTCGTCGGGCCGTCTTGGCACACCCTTGGGCAACCCAAGGGCCTCCTAAGGCCATCTTGTGTCATACGGGAGGCCCTCTTTAGCTGTTTTGTGGCCGTCTAGGATGAATCTTGGGCCTTCCTGGGGTCCTCTTGGGCCGCCTGTGGACCTCGTGAGGGCCTCTTGGGCCGCGTTTGGGCCGTCAGGGAGGCTTCGTGGGCCATCGGAAAATCAATGATCTTGAATTCTTCGGACCCTGTTGGGGGTCTTCCTGCGGCCCTTGTGGGCCCTCTTGGAGCCATCTTGGGCCGTTTTCAAACCATATTCGGCCTCCTTGGAACCATTTTGGCCCGTCTTTGAGATCTGTTAATCGTGGCCTCGGGAGGGGGATGCACGCAGCACTCTGCGAAGAGGGGGTTTCCCTCTTCGAGTACACAAGCCCTACAGAGCAGCACTTGGCATTCTAACACGCCCACTTCGTGCAGGCACGGTGGTGGGTAGCCTCGAGGAGGGAGAAAAGGAGGAGAAATATGTCCATGAGGAGGATAGAGAGGAAGAGGAGAAGGAGGTGGAGGATGAACAGGACGAGGAAGATGAAGACGAGGATACTACATCTCCTGCTCCTATCAGGTCCTGTCTTTCTCCCCTTTCCCCTCTCCACCGACAACTTCAGTAGTGGGGAGGACGGGTGCCTTGGTTTCCCTTCGAGACGGGGGGAGGAGGGGAGAGGGAGCTCATTAGAACATAGCAAAGGAGAGCGCCAGGTTGGAACGCTGCTTCTCACCTTCGGCATACAATGGTTCTCCACGCAGATGGACAGCGAGGACCCTGCAGCTCGCAGATGCGGGTGGGGCCTAGAGGGCAGCCTTCTGAGAAGCAGTCTCAGATCGTTGGCCTTCCCTCCACCACTACAGACCAGGAGGGGCGGCTGACTTCACGATCTCCGAGGACATGCTTTTTCTTCGTTCGGCCTCCGCGAGCCCTCCTCGGGCCCCGGACCATCAAAATTGGACCTGGGGCGACACATTGACCCTTGGGAAAGGGTCGGGATTTCTGGAGCTGCGGATTGAACAAATCATACCGGCAGATGTCAGGGTTCTTCCCAGGCACCACGCCGACACGAATCCTGGGACGGTTGGTCCAGGGGCGCGGCCGGCGTATCGCACAACAATGCGCTACGACAGGTCAGCCGCCCGTGGTTTGCAGCGGTGGTCATGAGAATAAGTAGGCGCACCACCCTTCCAAGAAGGCCACCACCCCCGCTCGCTACGGTGTTCGCGCCGCCAGAGGATTTAGAGGGCTTCTATACCTTGTTCATCATGAGCAACTTCTGCTCCGTCGGCTATCTCATCATGTCCGTCTGGCTCGCCATGCACGCCTCGATCGCTGCTCAAGCGATCGGCTGCCGGCTCCTCACGAGCAACATGCGCCTCGCGCTTCCAAGCACCAGGGCCCCGAAACGGCGTGTGCGTGTCAGTGTATCTCGCTTTCTCCGCTTTGCAGGGCCGCCTCCTTCCTCTTATCCTCGGGGCGTGCCAGCTGCCAGCTGCCTCCATGGTGCCCCGATGGTGTGCTGGTGTGTTGTTCAAGGTTGGTAAGGTGCATTGGGTTCTGATAGTGTGTGGGTGACTTCCCCGTGGTGTGCCCGCCCGCCTTTGGTAATGCTCCGACTGACGCTCCAGTGTTTTCCGGTTGATTCACGATCTTGTTTTTGTGGTGTCTTTGTGATGTTCCAGGAGCGTTGCGATTGTCCCCAAGATTTCTCGAGGGGGCCTCGGTAATGTCGGGATAATGTTTTGATGTTTCACCGACGGTTTTGATACTGATGTATATTTAGGTATACAGATATGTATATATATATATACATATATATATATATGTATGTATATATACTGCGAGAATATAGCAACGTGTGATAATGAGATATTCCCCACCCTGCAGCTTATTCTCGGTAGAAGGTCGGTCCGCAAGGTATTTTTGTATCTTTGCACACCCAGTCGCTGATACTTCATCCCCGTCCCTCTTCCCCTCCTCTGCCTGCTCGTCCTTCTCTCCCCCAGCCTCCAGGAGAGGAGGGAGCGTTGATGAAATATCCAAATCGAATTTCCGTCACTTCATCGGGTGATGGGGCCAGAGAACGAAGAGGTGGGTGATTGGGATGTAAGGGCACGATGATGAGGATAATATCGGTATGAGGACGAACGACGACTATGATATGCCGTCTACAAGGCAAGTGCGAGCTTGAGCGCATCTCCGTGTCCATCACTCCGGGCCTCGACCGGATGGTGGCCCTCGGGAAGTGGGCGGAGGCTTGAGAGCAGCAAATGATTGGACATGCAGATCCATCGGATCGAAGTGTTCTGTTTTACACGCTTGAAACGGGTGTCATTCTGCGAGCTTGCAGAGTCCCGAGAGTCCCCCCAGACTAGTAGACGAGCTCTTGTGACTTTCCATGATGAAAGTTCACTGTGTCATTAGTTCCCCGAAGTAAGTTTTCTTGCAGGCCGTCGCACTTGCATCTTTCCGGGGAAATTGCAGCGACGTCAACCCAAGTCGTTTGGCAAATTCCAGGGAGGCGAGGTCTCGGAAGTGTTCATTTGACTTCTCTCGGGTAGAACCTCCATTGAATTAGTCGGAGATGACTTTAGTACGTCTGGAAGTCGCGCCGATGGAGTCTCCAGGGCCTCATGAAGTGGCGATTGGTTTACATCTGGCAACGCTCAGGAATTCTAGGCTCCGTGCTGGAATTGTGTACTCCAGACGCTTCTGCTTTCAGAAAGCGCAGGAGGAGAGCACAACACACCCCGCAGATACGCAGTTCTACGAGCGAGAGGTTGATCTGGGTTGGGAAGTATCAGTCCAGAGAGCAGCCCGCGGAAGGTGCCGATTCGTCCGTATGGCCAATACGCACCGACTTGGCGATCGGAAAGCAGCCGATCGCTCAAGGTTGAACGATCCGCGCGGTGTCAGAAACGAACGTGCAGGTCGTCACGACACGATCCTGCCCTACCAGGCCTACAAGCCCACCCGACGCCCCGGCCACCCCCTGGGCCTGGCCCCACCAGGCCCCCCCCATCCCACACGGCGCCCTCGGCCCCAGCAGCCAGGTCCCGCCGCCCCCCTGCTGGCCGGAGGGGGGAGGTGGGTCTGTCGGTTGGTCGCGGACCTCGAGCGGCTCAGTGCCAGGAGGCCTAAGGAGGGGGGCGGAGACGGAGGAGAAGGTGACCACGACGTCGTTTGATCGGCCCGGACCAGCCACACGACACGTGTGCGACCTGACACGGATTGCGAGAGCGGAAATTTCTCACTCCGATGCAAGAGGGCGTCGTCTCCCGGAGTCGTTGACGGCTGCATTTGAGACAACAGGGCGGAAGGAGTCGCTTGACGCTCGGGGACATGAGGAGCACCACCGTATGGAGCCTCCAGGATCAGCAGGCATTGGGTTCCTCTTCGCTCTCTCTGCCGACCCCTCGGTCAGGCTGCAACTCCTAAAATATTCGCTCATCGGCCCCAGCATGTCTGGGGTCGGAACTGGGCCCAATCTCGCCCAATCCCGTCTAGAATAGTCTGGCCCGATTTGGCTTAATATTTAGCGTAAGATGCCAAAATCTGGCTCATAGCCCTTGCCATCGCGCGCACTCGCCCTTAGCCACAATGGTTCCCACGGAGGCCTCCAAGGAGTTGTCCCCTATTGGAGACGACCAGGGGGGCTGAGCTAGGTAAGCCTCGAGACAATTGATCAAGAGGGGGGTCAAATTTGTTCGAAATCGGTCCCCAGACCCCTCCCAGGATCGAAACTGACAAGTGTTTCAAAGCCGCGTCCAGCTGTTGTGGTTACGAGGAAGCCCATTTTTCCCCCGGAGCCAGCGCTGGGCCACCCCAGCCCCCTGGCTTGCTCCAATCCTAACCTCGGATCAAAATTTGGCTGGGGACCCGCAGGCCAAGATCACGTCGAGGCCAGAGCAGGAGGAGAGCGATCGGCAGTCTGCAAGGAAGCGCGCGGCGATGGCGCCCGCTGCGGCCAGCGCCGACGGCGCACAGGCCAGCCGTCTCGGGGCACCAACGGAGGCAGGAAGGGTTGGGATGTTTGAGAACAGTGCCGACCCGACGTAAAGACCAAAGAACGGCATAAACTTCAATTTTTGGAGCTCCGCGCGGATTTTTTGGATCGGCGCTGGACCCCCACTGGCGGCGCCTCCGGCGCCCCCCCTGACGGCACTGGCGCGCTCCGCGCCCCAGGTAGGGGGGTCCAGCGCCGATCCGAGAGACCCGCGCGGACCTCTGAAAGTTTATGTTTAAGCCGTTGCTTGTTCCTCTAGTCACGATGTTCGAGGCTGCTTGCATCGCCCGGAAGACCAGAACAACTCGCGGGCTCCAGAAGGGAGCAACGCAATAACGTGAGGGGGCGTCGCAGGGGTTCGGTAAGACCTTTGTCTCGGGTTTCGGGGAGACAGACAGACGTGGAGCCGGATGCCATTTCTCCAGCCTGGCCTGGAGACATTCCCTCGGCAGGTTCGGAAGAGCATCAAGGGAGGGGCGGAGGAGGAGGAGGAGGAAGCAGCGGGTTCGAGGCTGGGATATCCATGTGTGCGCGTCAACTCGTTACACCCGTTTTGGACCTCGGGAGGCCTTCGGGAACCTCGGTGGAGGCCTGGACCTCCAGGGACCTCCAGGGAGGGCAAGGAGGAGGGAGGGAAGGGCGAGGTGGGGCGGGAAAGCGAGGGTGACGACACCGAGAGAGGCGAGGAGGGACGAAGGTGGGCCGAGGGACCCAGACCTCTGGTGCTCTGAGCACATCGAGACGGAGTACTTTCAAATTGTCATTCGGTTCGGCCTCCATCGCGCTTCTGGACCCAAGGACCGATCCGCGACGAAACCATTGTTCTTGGGAAGGGAGAACAGGTCCAGAATCCTGTGGGCCACGTCTTGGAAACATTGGGTCGCTTTGACCTGACACTTTGATTTTCCAGGATGGCTGAAAAATAGCACCAGCAGCTCGGAAGTCAAGTGCAATGAGACATGTTGAGATGTCTTGATGAGGCTGTTAGTCGGGTGTTTTCGTTGGTTGTGACTCTGGAAGGTTAGGGAGCAGCTGGATGGGCAAGGATGATGAGAAGCAGCACGTGCGTAGGGGGACGAGACGGATCAAGAGCAGAGTGACGAGGGAGTAGCAGGAAGCGGCAGAAGGATGGAGAGGGGAGGAGGGAGGCGAGAGGAGGGAGAGGAGAGGTGGGTGGAGGAGGAGGTCGGCAGAGGCACTGGTAGACGCCCAAGAACTTTTCGGGATAATATTGCAACCTCACGGGGAGCCTTCGAGATTCCCTTCCCTCATGGTAGCGGCGTTTCAGGGAGGGGGAGAGGGGGAGGCAGGAAAGAGCCCCCGCTCCATCCCTCCCTCCCCTCTCCTTCTTCCTTTCCATTTTCCCATCCCTCTTCCGAAGCACAGCCAAATGATGAAGCAGCAGCAGCTGCAGCTGAAGGAACAGCAGCAGGAGGGCCCCCTTAGGGAGGAAGTAGCGCCCGGGATCTCGCTCGAATGCGTTCTGGCCCCGTGGCCTGTCCGATTCGCAGGCGCCTTTCAGCGGAAGCAGTCCTAACCCCTTGGCGTCCAGGCGAGCTTCTGGAGGTTTCCGGAGGCCCCCCGAAACTGCCGAAAGCATTCAAACATTTGGATCCTCGATCCCCGACGCGTTACAAGGGGATCAAGATCAGGGTTTTCGCAGGGTTTGGGTACATGTGTCTTGCATCCCACATCCCCCAACACACGTCCGAAAGGCTGACCTTCGACCCTCTATCTGGTTGGCGTGCAACAACCAACCATGAGAACATTCCACAAACATCCAAATCATCCAGTCCCGTGTCCCGTTCTACGAAATGTCCGACAATCGTATCCCCCACTCAATCCTCATGCTTTCCACTTGCGAGACTGGCATCGGTCCTCGATTGTCGACCTCGAACCTTGATTTCCGATCCCGAAAGGGTTGAACAATCCCCTCAGGATCAAGGGAAGAAGGACAAGGAGGAGGGTAGGGATGCGCAAAGAGGACGAGAGAGAGAGAGAGAGAATTCTAGACGCTTCGCGTATCCCCACCAGTTACCTCGCCGCCCTGGACGCTGTCGTGTGCGGGGGTGGGGGCGATGCTGGAGGCGGTCGCGGAGGAGACAGCATCGCTGCGACAGTAGTCTTTTGGGAGAGCTCCAGCCTGAACAGGCGGTCGTTCGCAGCGGCGCGTCGGCCCCTCTCCCTCCTGGAGACAGGCAAGCTGGCATTCCTTCTGCCCCTCATTCCTATCGGCGCCCCATCGGGTAGCGTCGTTGTGGAGGCGGAAGGTGCGGGCGATATGCCGTCGAAAGCACGCTCGCTCCTGGAGAATATCGTGGCGTTAACTGGGGGTGCTGCTGCGGGCGCGCCCGCGCTCGGAGACGTTCCCCCCTTTCAGGCAGTCTGGAATACATCCGATAGCGCGGCCCTCAGCTGCAAGCATCTTGAGCAGCAGCCGCAGAACCACCCGGTTGTTCCCCACTCGTAGGAGCAGCAGCGGGAGCTGCAGCAGCAGGGGCAGCAGCAGCAGCCCCGTCGGAAAGCGCGGCCTTCAGCTGTGAAAGGAACGCGCTCCCTCCTGGAGACAGCACCGTGGCGATGCTTGGCAGCGCTGCAGAGGGCGCACCCGTGCTCGGAGACGTTCCTAACACTTCTGACTGTCAGGGCGATGCCCCCGAAAGTGCGGCTTGAGCTGGAAAGGAACGCGCCCCCTCCTGGAGACGGCGTCGCGGCGGTTGGCTGCAGCGCTGCTGAGGGCGCGCCCGCGCTCGGAGATTCCCCGTGCATTTCTGACAGTCAGGCAGATGTTTCCTAAGTGCGGCCTTCAGCTGCAAAGGGTCACGCCCCCTGCTCCCGGAGACAGCGTCGTGGCTACAACTGGCTGCGCTGCAGAGGGCGCGCCCGTTCTCAGTGACTTTCTTCGCAATTCTGACCGGCAGGAAATTGCATCCGAAAGTGCGGCCCCCAGCCGCAAAAGGAACGCGCCCCCTCCTGTTGGCAGCATCGCGGCGACAGCCGGCGGCGCTGCAGGGGGCGCGCCCGCGTTCGGAGACGTTCCTCCCAACGCAGACACTCAGGAGTTTTTCCGGGAAGTGCGGCCTTCAGCTGCAGCAGTCTTCCAAGAGAGCCCCAGCCTGACGATGCGGTCGTTCGCAGCAGCGCGTCGGCCCCTCCCCCTCCTGGCGGCAGGCAAGCTGGCGCCCCTTCAGCCCCTTCACTCCTATCAGCGCCCCTAAGGCTGCGTCGTTGTGGAGGCGGAAGGCGCGGCCGAAATGGCGCCCCGCCCTGGCGGCGCTATCGCGGCGGCAATTGCGAGCGCTGCCGAGGGCAGGCAGGCTCTCCGTCAGCACCTCGCTCCGATCAGCGCCCCGGGGGCAGAGTCTTGGTGGAGGCCGAAGATGCGCCCGGAATGGCGCCCGCACCCGCCAACAGCCTCGCGGCGGCGGGTCGGAATGCTGCAGAGGGCGATGCCGCCACGCGCAACCGAGTCAGGAGGTCGCAGGCAGCGCGACCGCTGCCACAACCCTGGCAGTGCCCCCAGCGCTGGAGAGCCCACCGCTGGAGGAGTCCCTCACTTGCTGGAAGTTTAAGGTTCTCACGTCGGGGTCGCGCAGCCTTTCGCCGCAGTTTCCCACGCGCGCCCCTGCCTTCCCAGCTCCTCGCGACCGATTCCGGTCACCACTTTGCAGAAAGTGCAGCCTTCAGCTGCTTCCCGGTATCCTGGTATGCCGACCAACAGGCGAGCGAGGCACTCTTGGCTTTCGATGTCCAAGTCTTGACGCCCCCACGGGCGCCCCTGGTGGCCAGCGGACCTTACAAGGAGAAACAAGGCCCATCAGGCCAGAAGTCCCTCTGCAATCGGCAAACCAGTTGCCGTTAGCCACTCCCTGGTGGCGCTTTCTGCCCAGCTCCCGCTGCCCCCCGCCCTTGGGATTCTTGCAGCGGCCTGCTGGCAATGCCAGCCAGCACGTGGATTGTGCTTGGGCCGTGGTTCACCTGTCTCAGTTGGCCCCTGGCCCTGCTGTAGCTGTTTTCACCACAGTCGGCGCGCCCCACTCCCCGCGCCCACAGGTGCCCGCCATGCTGGAGCGGCTCGCCCCCCGCGGTCGGGTTGCCCTGCCCCGCTCTTTCCTGCCCCGCACCGCTCAGGCGGCTTGGCGACTCCGTCAGCCGCGGCCCCCTGCCCCACCGCCCCAGCGGCTCAACCCCATGCCGGGGCGCCTGGGGCTCCCGAGTGCACGTGGTTCAGCTTGTGCTCTCCTGACTGTCGGACGACCGCGTTGACCCGCCCCACGGCCCCTGGCGGCGATGCATCCTCTTGCTCCCTCGCCCCGGTGCTGAGACGTGGATCTCTCTGGTTTGGTCAGCTCTCAGTCGTCGGTTCCTGCTCGAGGGCGCGCGTGGCTTTACTTGATCCGGTGGTTCAGGCGCTCTACGGTGTCGATTGCATCCATCGTTCCCTCGGCTACTTCGCCCGTCCCTGGGGCCATTCCGTGGACGGACGTTCGCAGGATCAGGACTCCCTTCAGGGGACTTGGCGTGCGACTTTGGTGGCCTCACCCGATGCGCCAGTTTTGGGCCAGTATGGGCACCCATGGCAGTCGACGCGGTGTACTGGTTGGTTGCCTCCCTGGGCATATCCTGGTACGACCCTCGCGCCATTTTGGCTGCGCCCCAACCCTGGTTGGCTAATCTTGCATGTGCGCGCTCCTGGACCTGGTCCAAGGCGCTGCTGAGGTCGCCGGCCCGTCGGCGTTAGGCAATTCGGCTCTTGCGCGGCCCGCTCGGACCTGACTCGCCGCTGGCGCTCTCGCCTGCGGTTGCGACAAAACGTATCCCCACCAGCCCATCCAGAAACGATCAGGAGGGGAGTTGGTAAATCAGGGGCGGCTGGAAGCATGCAGTTGCGCGGCCGTCTTTCAGGGCAACAAGGGTCACAAGTAGCTTCCCGCATTGAAGTTTAAGCTGGAAGTCGGTCAGTGCAAGAAGCCGTCCCGCCCGACACCCTCCCCCCAGTTGAGTCCGCCGTATATTCGGATGTTCTATTCTATGGGATCCCTTCCCCCTCCCCAGCCCCATTTAGGTCGCCGTGGATTCTGATGTTTTGCATGCGGGACGAGGAGGATGATGCTGAGGGGGGGAGCGGGAAGGAGGAAGGAAGGAGAAGAAAATGCCACGAAGGATGAAACGTCTGATGTTGGACAAATGTTTTTGCGAGGTGCTCTTTGGGAACTCTTCGGGCCATCTTACGGGCTCTCTCTTGGGTTCCCCGTGGGGCTCCCTTGGGGGTCTCTTGGGGCTCTCTCAAGGCTCTCTTGGTTTTTTTTTTGGGTGGTCTTGGAGCCCTTTTGTAGCTCTTTTGGGGGGTATGGGAGGTTTCTTAGGGCCGTCGTGGACCCCTGCGCGAAAGAAGGAGGGGGTCTTCAATTTAGGCCCCCACCCTTGGATGCCCAAAAGGGGCGTCATGGGGCCTTTTTGGACTACTCTTCGGGCGCTTTTGAGCGCTCTTGGGGCTGTCTTGGGGCCCTCTTGGGCCTCTCTTGGGCCTATGTTGGGCCATCTTGGGGCCATCTTGGCGCCTCAAGAGCCCATCGGAAACGAAAACGCGAACACGGCAACACACATTCTGATGTTCCCCAAGTTTCGAACCCATTTTGGCCTCCTGGGGGGGCCCCTGGATGGCTCGGAGGGCACTTGAAGCCGTCCTGGGGCCGTCCTGAGGCACGTTGGATGCGTTTTGGAGGCTATCTTGAGCCGTCTTGGGGTATATTGGGCGATCTTGGAGGCCATCTTGGGGTAGCGAACGCCCTCTTGAAGTTATCTTGGGCAATATTGGACGCTCTGACCCCTCGCGGGGGAGGCCGTCCAGACCAAGGGAGGGGGGGGTACACCTCCCGAGCAGGGAAAAGAAAGAGGTTACAGAAGGAACCGCTCTAGACACCACCTGCGCCCAGACGGCTTGTGGGATCTATAGAGGGAAGATCATTATGATTGCCTTGATCCTGTCGTCCCCACTGCTCGTGCAAACATCCCACCCTCCCACCCGCAACTTTGTCGCAAGACCTCTTAAGCTAGTGACGGTAGGTACCAAATGGCACTTGGCAACGACACCGACGACGACAGCGACACCGACGACGACGACGACGACGACGACGACGACGACGACGACGACGACGACGACGACTACGCCGACGACGACCACGACGACACCGACGACGACGCCGACGACTTCGACGACGACGACGCCAACGACAACGACGACACCGACGTCGACGACGCCGACGACGACGACGACGCCGACGACGACGACGACGCCGACGACCACGACGACGACGACGCCGACGCCGACGACGATGACGACGCCGACGACGACGACGACGAAGACGACGACGACGACGCCAACGAAGACGACGACGACGAGGGAGGAGGGAGGACGCTGACGGCGACAACGACGACAACGACGAGGGAGGAGGGAGGACGGCGACGACACGAACGACGAAGGAGGAGGGAGGACGGCGACGCCGACGACGACAACGACGAGGGAAGAGGGAAGATGACGACGACGACGACGACGGCGACGAAATAGGAGGGACGACGACGAGACGCCGACGACGGACGACGACGACGACGACGAGGGAGGAGGAATGACGACCACGGCGACAACGACGACGGAAACGACGACGACGCCACAGAGGACGATGACGGCGACGACGACGACGAGGGAGGAGGGAGGACGGCGAAGACGACGACGACGACGACGCAAGAGCGCATGCGCAGGCTTTTGTTGAACGTCCGTGTTGCGAAACCCTGCACTTTTGTATGTGTTTTGGACACTCGAGTTTGAAAGCCGTCCGACACCGACTGTTTTCGACGGATTTCGGCATGCGCGCGCGACGACGCGCGCGCGTGCATTTCTTTTCGTTTATTGCAGAGGATTCTCGCGACGGTACGCGCGCAAGGGCGTTCGAGCGATTTCGACATGCGCGCGCGCGAAATCCGTTTGGTAGTATGTATGCCCATCTTTCTTTATTCAAAAACGATGTTGTTTAAGATTTCGCAAGAGCTCGAGCGTAAGCTTTTTCAGACAATCCTTGTTGCGAAACCCTGTGTTTTATATGTTTTTTGAAAACTCGATTTCGAAATCTTTCCGAAACCGAGGGGTTGTTGAATGATTTCGGCATGCGCGCGACGACACGCGCGTGTGCACGTCGTTCCTTTTTTTGCAAAGGATTCATGACATTTTCTGGTTTTGGATCAATGAGTGCGCGCGCGTAGTTTATGTTGCAGAGGATGGCGGGGGGGGGGGAGATACCCGTTTGGCTCGGATCATATGAATTTAAATCACTGCTCGGATGGACGATGGGGCAGAAACATATGCAAATTGCAATGCGAAAAGGGGAATCTGTAACCCCGGGGGGGAGGGTGGTAGAACCTTTTCTTAAGGAAAGGATAATCAAGACATGACAAGACGAGACGAGACAAGACAAGACAAAAGAAGAGAGGAGAGGAGAGGAGAAGAGAAGAGAAGAGAAGCAGAGAAGAGAAAAGAAGAGAGAGAGAGAGAGAGAGACAGGGAGGTGAGAGAACGAAACAAAGTGAACGTCAGCGATGCATTGGCAGAAGTGGTGATACGATCGCCCGCAGCACACTGCCAGCGGCACTGCTGTGAAGCGGTGGACCGTCAGCCCAGCCCCCCTCCATTTTCCGTCCTCGAGGCGAACCGCGGCAGGGGGCGGCCCGACGCACACAGGGCCGCCTCATCGGCGGACGAGGACATGGCACCTATGCAGCGGATGCAGACGGCGGTCATGCGCGGGCCCCGTGCGCCCTCCTGCCGCGTCGTCCTCGCCGGGCCCATGCCTGTTCGATCGATCCGATCCGATTCCGATCTCGCCCAGCTCGGTCCCGTTCCGATCCAGTGCGACCCGGTGCTCGCGCGGCTCGGCTGCGCGCTCTGGCCAGGATCTCCAGGCGAGTCTGGCGGCGGACGGCAATAAGCCTGACAGAGGCCCAGGCCACAGACCGGCTCTCAGGCCTCGGCCTCTCCGCATCGTCGCCCCGGCCCTCCCCAGAACTCCGAAGTTCGGGCGGGGCCAACACGATGATGAATCCGTTCAAGAGCGTTCCGGAACGCGTTCCGGCACGCTCTGAGAAGGACATCATCTAGAACCGCCAGATCTCAGAGATTCGCGATTTGTCCCCACCTGAATTTATCCTTGTTTTGGCTTCGTCTCAGAAGTTGTGTTGATTGTGCTACGTGGAACCCGCGGGCATCTGACCCCCTCCCCCGGGACCAGCTTTTCTCCCCGCGTCGTTTGCTTACGGTCACAGGGCCTGGCGAGAGCCCGCGGAGGCTGGAAGTGGCCAAAAACGAGAGGAGGTGGGGGTCCTTCGTCTCGACCTCCTCCTTCGGTTCAATCCCCTCCTGTAGCCGTTGTCGTCGCCGCCGCCGCTGTCGGTCGTGCCGCTGCGGCCGTCCGTCGGTCATCTGTCGTGGTCGCCGACGCCGTCCTGGCCGCCGCCGTCGCCATCGCCGCCTGTGGCTTCTGGTTCTTCTCTGCCTGGACCTCGCGCGCGAGGCCAACCCATATCCGCCACACACATCTATATATGAAAGAGCGTGTTCTACGGCTCGTGGGGGGGTCACTACCGGTTCGAACCCCTCCCCCCCCCCCCCTCCGGAAAACCGAGGGGGGTCACTACCGGTTCGAACCCCTCCCCCTCCCCCAGTTCATCATGAAAAGGTGGGGCGCGGTCACTACCGGTTCGACTCCCCCCTCCCCCCCGTCGAACTCGAAAACCGGGGGGGGTCACTACCGGTTCGACCCCCCCCCCCCTCGAAAACCGAGGGGGGGTGCGGACAGTGGTGGGGACGGTGGTGGTGGGGACAGTGGTGAGGGGACAGCGGGACAGTGGTGGGGACACTGGGACAGTGGTGGGGACGGTAGTGGTAGGGACAATGGTGAGGACAATGGTGGGAACAGTGGGGACAGTGGGACAGTGGTGGGGACGGTGGTGGTGGGGACAGTGGTTTTGGGACAGTGGGAATGTGGTGGAAACAGTAGGACAGTGGAGGGTACAGTGGTGGTGGGGACAGTGGTGAAGGCGGTGGCGAGGACGGCGGTGGGACAATGGGACAGAGGTACAGTGGGGACAGTGGTGGGGACAGTGGGGACAGTGGTGGGAACAGTGGGACAGCTCAGTGGGACAGCGGAGGAGTCAGTGGGACAGTGGGGACAGTGGGGATAGTCGGGCAGTGGTTGGGGCCGTGGAGAAAGTTGGGAGAGTGGAGCCGTGGTGGGAACAGTGGTGGGGACAGTGGGGACAGTGCGACAGTGGTGGTGGCACTAGTGGGGACAGTAGGGGCGGTGGTGGAACCAGTGGGGACAGTGGTGGTGAGGACAGTGGTGCTGGGAACAACAGAGGGGGATGTGGTGAGGACGGTGGTAGGGACCGGGAGTCGTTTGCTGGCGGTGAGAGGGGGGGGGGGGAGGGGTTCGAACCGGTAGTGACCCCCCCCCTCCGGTTTTCGAGGGGGGGGGGGGTCGAACCGGTAGTGCCCCCCCCGGTTTTCCGGAATGGGGGGGGAGGGGTTCGAACCGGTAGTGATCCCCCCCCGGTTTTCCGCCAGCAGCGGTAGAACCTCCCGTTTCCGAGGGGGGAGGGGGGGGGGGTCGAACCGGAAGTGACCCCTTACGGTTTTCCAGAGGGGGGTTGGGAGGGGTTAGGGGAGGGGGGCGGGGTTGGGGTTTTTGCCGGGGGAAGGGGGATGGGGTCCAGCAGGGGGGGGGGATTTTCGGAGGGGGGGGGACCCCGGGCTCCAGGGAAAAGGGCGGCAATTTTCCACAGTAAAGCGGCGGTGGATCACGCTCTCTCCTATATATATATATATATATATAATATATATATATATATATACAGACACCCTCCAATGGATTGTTCCTGGGCCTCAGGGGAGGCCAGCGGTGTATAAATTACCCGCCTTGAGAGCCAGCGACGGTACATGCAGAATTCGTCGGAGGGTGCCTGTGTATATATTTTCGTGGCGTACCATGAAGCATCCCAGAGTTCGACTCCCTCCGTGCCCCCTGAGGTCCCGCCTCTGTGCGGCTGGGGGCGCGGCCGGGGAGCTGCACCTCGACGCCGGCTGGGCGCGCACCCACAGCGCCGCCTCGGTGCTGCCGGGCACAGGGCAGCCCCCGCAGCCGCCCGGGCGCGAGGGCCGGGAGGAGAGGAGTCTGCACAAATGTACAGGCTTGTAGGGGGGGGGGGGAGCGACGGGGGCAGCGGGCGGCGACGTGGCGAAACCTCACCCACCGGGCGACAACGAAGCGGCCACGAGGCGGCAACGGGCGGCGACGCGGCGACACCTCGACGGACCCCTCCGAAGTGGGCGGCAACGAGACGGCACTGGACTGCGGCGCGGAGAAACTCTCCCCCCAAAATGGGCGGCAACGAAGCGTTGACGGGGGCGGCAGCGCGGCGAAACCAAGACGGACCCCACCCCCCAGCGGCGGCGCGCCCGGGGGGGGGAGCGAGCGGGGTCAGGCTTTCTCAGAAGGCGACCGGGCTTTTCAGAAACCCTCCGGCCTTCTGATTAGAAGCGGATTAGGCCCCCCCCGCCTTGCCTCATCCCACTTGCCCCTCTGGCTCGCCGCCAAGATAGGTTCAGAATACAGAGGGGTCGGAGGAGTCAGGCTGCATCGCCGATGCATCAGCGATACGGCTCGACGTGGTGCCCGATTTGATTTGCGCCGTCTTCGCCGACGCCTCGCCGTCGAGAGGTCGGGGATGCGGGGATGCGGCGCGATCCTCTGACCTCATCTGTTCGGGCCCCATTTGGGAGGCCTCGACAGTGGAAACCCATGCCGAGAAACACCCTGGTTGCCTCCAGGGTGCCTTGGGTTTCTTGGGTTTTAATGGTCGTGCTATGGAAAGGGTGACGTTCCCACACCAGGAATCAATGGACGTCCTGGGGTCTCAGGGTTGGGTTTCTTGTGCAAGCTTTCTTGTGGTCGAGCCCCTACTGTAAGAAACTCGTGCGGGTGGCAGCAACCCAGCAACCCCCCATTTGGGCCACCCCCGATTACCACCCGTTCGACTATGGAAAAAACATGAAAACCCCAGAGTGACCCCAAACGGTTCCAAAACTGCCAGCGCGGGCCCACAGAGTGCACAGCAGGTGCAGGCTTCTGCACCACCCGTTTTGCATGGCCCTTCCGCCATCGAGCACCCGACATAACCATGCAGTTTCCAAGGCAGGGGACTCTAAAGGAGATTGGGCAAAAACGATAGGTAGCGAGCGTTTGTCCGCGGCCGTTTGGGCTCAAGCGGCCGGCCGCCAAGATACGACTGCGCCTCATCGCGAGGCACACTATTTACCATTGAGACCGAAAACATATTCGCTTGACATGGCTTGTCGCTCCCGCGACTCTCTTCTGCTCCTGGGACTATCGCTACTACGGTATAGCAGAGTTGGATATGGGCTTCGTCTTAGGCGAAAAATTTGGTTGTGCCTCCCGACCAGCGTCAATCTTGGTAGCGGAGCTGTCCTGTGGAGGACAGCTATCGTTTTTTTCCTCACCATCGACGGCACTATCTGGTGGACTACTGACATGGTTGAATGTCAGGGTGCAGTGGCTCTGCGCAAACGCATGTTTACACATATGCACAAGCGCAAGGACACTTGCAGTGCTGCTTCTGCTCACGTGGAGTTGTCCTACATGAGTTAGACATCTCTGCCTGAAGTCCACCCGCCTACTCCAATTTGTGTTTTCTTCGAAGATACTATGCATGGCAACATGAGATACGACATTGTGCCGCCTCCACCCCAACGCAAGCTCACGGCAACGCCACCACAAAAACAACCTAAACGTACAACCGACTACGACCTACGGGGCCCTTGGATCGGTATTATTCGATTGAACCTTCTATGGGTCGCTTTCGGATGCGCTGCTGGGCACACGCAGCATGGCGGTGACGACACACGTAATACCGGCCCCCGCTGGGACCCTGCCAGTAATGCACCTTTCCGCGAGTTCGTTGGCGAGGTACATGCCTGGGTCGTCGTGGCCACAGGCGCTATGACCCCCTCCCGACAGGCCGCCGCTCTACAGCGCGGTCTGGGAGGGCTCGCAAGGACCATAGCCATGAAAGTTCCCCCCGCAGTAATTAACTTCGGTGTTATTATCGTTTGTCGCCACACCGATGGCGTCACCTATATCATGTTCCTCCTCAGCAGTAAGTTCGAACACTTGGAAGAGGAACGCCAGCTCAATTCGGGAACGGCTATCATTGACTCCCGCGTTCAGTGCTCTAGGTGTTGGTACATCGCGTGCGCAGCAGCTACTACAACCACCGAACCACCAAATACCAAGGAATCAGCAGCAGTTTGACGCCTTACTGGAGCGCCAGCAAGGTGGTGCATTCAGCCGCGGCCTCCGCCCTGGCGTCTTTCATGGCGACACTCATGCAGGGCAAGTTGCCGACAGCGTCCGGAATGGCGATCCACAACCAGACGAGGCCGCCACTCGATTAAGCCAGCAAGGTGGCCAGTCCACGGGGGCGCAAGACTCCTGGGCTTGATGTCAGGGACCGTCGGCAACGGCGGCCCCTACCCGAGCCGCTGCCCTCGTAGGTTCGGCGGGGCATACCGCGGAGTCCGAATTTGATTCTGGCACCGACATTGACGCCTCAGCAGATGAGGGAATCGGCAGCTTGGATAATTCCGACATGCCTGTGCATCTCACTACTGAAAGAAGAACAGCAGGCTCAAACGACGGAGATTACATGTAAAGGCATGCCAACATTCTTGGCATCCGTCGCGGGACCACAGCATAAGGGATCTCCGCGGGGAAGGGCAAAGGCCGCAGGCGCACCTCAGGAAGAGTTCAGGGGCGCCAGGGTAACCCGAAAGATGCCAACGGGTAGACCATGGAATGCGATTCCTGCCGCAGCACCCAGCATCTTCGTCGCGAGTGCCCGCAAGGCGATGGGAGAGGCAGGGGTCCGTCGATGCATCTGGCTCAAATCGATTCCGGCATTCAGTTTGTCGATTGGGAGACTCTTCTCGTCGAGTCGGGGTGCGACCCCGCGGCCGCTGTCAATTTCATGTTCGCGAGGTATTTGAGCGCCGGCGTGTCCCTCGAGGTGTGCGCCGACGAGTTCTGCGAGGAGATCTACGTTGGCCACGATGAGATCGATCTTGCAGACTGGCTGGGCATCCCCATCGCGGGGCAACCTGCGCGCGCGGAGTTCATCGAGGACTCTCGCATGCCCGCCGACTCGGATCACGAGATGGCGGGGGCACCCGCGCATTCCGATGATGCGATGCTGGCTACAGAGGAGGAGCTCCAATGGGCGTTCCGACCGCAGGAGATTGGGAATCCCGCGCGCAAGGCAGCCTGCGACGACGACCCTCTGCGAGGCAGCCCGCGCGACGCCGGCGACCTGTCTGAGCGCATTCAACATGAGCTCGGACACAGTGCAGACTCTCATTTCACGTTTGTACTACACGACCGGCAGTCGAGCAGCCCGGTTTGGAGATGCGCATACCGCGCTGATGATGATGATCACGATGTGGAATGGGGGGCCGAGAGCCATCCGCCATGCCGCCATCGGCGGAGTCATTCGCGCAGGCACTCGTGCGCCCGCTCGGGCGGCGCACAGCACCTTCGCCCGCGCTATCCGAGAATCGCCAAGATGGGAAAAATTCGCGGGGGAAACCGCATCAGGATGACGAATGCCCAGGTGAGCCCGATGGCCCGCGTCGACTCAGACTTGTCGGTGAACATAACGACGGGCTTGGCCGCCAATATATACCAGACGAAGAGATGGATTATTAGCTGGAACAGGGGTGCACCCAGCACCACATCCGCCACTGGTAGTCATTGAATGATGCGAAGTGGGTTGAACAAAACAAAATCGTTCGTGCCGACAGAAGAGGCGGCGCCAAGACCGCTGCTACGTTGGAGAGGAAGGGCGCAAACCGAGCCAGCATTCCGGCTCGGAAGGAATATCGATAACACGTGTGCGGGTGCGAAGATCTTGCAGAGCACGGACCGACTTGGCGCCCATCAGGGGGGCCCAACTTCGAGCGGGCCCCGTGGGTCCGGCCCCGCGGGGGCGGTCTAGGCCGCAGGGTGGACCCAACCTGCAATCTTAGAGAAAGCACTTCTGACCGAGGAGGACTACAAGCCGCTAGACGGTCTTCAGGCCGCCAGGCCGAGGAATTTTCAGGGCCCCCGCCGCGGCCGGCAAGCCGCGGTACTTGGGCCCTCCCGATCCGCTGGGGTGCGCAGAGTGGTTAGTGGCACCTCCTGGTCTGAGGTGAGCGTTGCCGATGGAGTTCGCGGAGGCAACGCCCCCCCCTGCTACCCCGCCGCCGCGCCCCCCCCTGTGCCGGCCAGGATCGCGGGGGCCTTTCCCCCTGTCAGCGGGGCGCGCGGGCCGCGGATCTTAGCCTTGCACTTCGAGGTAGTTCCCAGAAAGATCTGGTTCCAAGTATATGTAGTCGAACGGATGCTGGAATTACTGGCGGCTGTAGGGCACGCACGAGCTAGGGCCAAGCCATTGATAAACGTTGGATGCCTACTGCCAAGCGCAAGATATCGAGCAGTTGTGCATGCGCAACACTCGCGCGGTCCTTCTGAGCTTCGGAAGGAAGAAGAACTATCGCCAAAACTGGGCAGGCGGCTGGCACTGAGCCAGACGGCTGCGGAAATCAGACAGATGCATGGCATGCGCTGCCGGATGCGTCATGAGGCCAAGAATTCCATGATCAAACATCTAACTTACAACCTTAGTTCCACATGCCCCAGACCGACTGCGCGGCCATCGCAATTGTTATCGGTCTCATGGGTGAAACGAACATTTGATGCATGTAACATTCCCTTTAGTGGCGTAGGCTACAACTGGGGCGTGGCATCTTGCGCCATCGCGCTCGCAACTTCCGGTGACCAGAAATCCTTGGGAATGTCCATATCTCCCTCGATATCCAAGTCTTGTGGAAACATTTGCCAGGCATCGTCATCATCCACTGAAAAAAGAACTCGCGCTGCCTAAGGTATCGAAACCTCGTTGTTTCCGCTGCTTCTCAGAAGTGAACTTGGCATCATAAACGAGCTTCCGCGTGCCTCGTTGCCGCCGTAGATTGTAGCTAACGCGGGCATTCCTTCTCTGAGTTCTTCGTCATGCAATTACTGAGTTGAGCTCCGCGGTGGCACCACCTCAGGGGCGTCGCAGTTGCTGCCATTCCACGCTTGAGCGCTAGATCCTCAAGAGCGCTCCGTTTGCCCTTCATGCCCAGGTCGCTGCTCTCGGAACGATCCAGGGCATCGAACACCCCGCGATAGTTTAGAACCAAGACTCCAGGAATCTCTGCACAGCTGGGCGCCCACTGCTTGGGAGGAGTAGGTCCGATGAGAGTTTCGCTCGGCAGCGGCCAACAGAGCTCCAACTCGCTTTGAGCTCCGCTGGTGGCTTGCACTTCTGCGGCGCTCGATGTTCGACAGACTCTGGGAAGCTTTGATGAGGCCCAGGCCAGGAGTGAGACAGGTGCTTCGAGATTATGCAGCAGGGCATAATCCGCAGGAAAATCAGGAAGCCACCTCGATAAGAGCCGTCTCGACGAACATCCCAGGCAGCGTCGGAGTAGCCCACCGCGCATGGACTGACGCGCTTCTCCATGATCCGCTCCTTGCTCGCCTCGATTCTGGTTCTCCTGATGAGCTTGTTGGCCTGCAGCGCGTTCGCCGCATCTGTGTTGCGGCGGGCCTGTAGCAGGGAAAGCTCCGCGCAGATAGGGGGCGCACCCTGCGTTGCCAGCCACAAAGTTGCCCAAGAGCTGCTCGCAGACGCGTCGCCTCCGCGGGAGGCACTGCTGTTCTGGATCTCGTCGTCTATGAGCTGGCATGGCGCTCCCGGCTAGCTCTTTGAGCGTAGTCGACCATGTTGAGATGCGTGCGCCCCCATGATTTGGAATGCCCATCAAATTCTTGACGGACGCAAGTCCCGCACTACACAAAAGCTTGAGTTCCCCACCTTTCCCATTCGTAGGCCTGGCGGAGCTTCTGATGGGCGCCCACAGCAACGTCTGACTGCTGATCGATCGCAATCATGAAGTCATCGACGTGAGCAACGGCCAGTCCTCGCAGCTGGCCTCCTGAGTCCCGTAGACACCACGTGCCAGGCTCGGTCGTGGATTCCAACCACCCAAGTTTTGACGCATCCTTTCGTAATCTCGTCCACCATCGTCACGGTGCATTCGCTATGCCGTAGACGGCTGTCTTCAGGCGGATGCATTGATGGTGTTCCAGTAGCATCGCTTCCCTGAGCGTCTCGATTGGTTTCGCGAGAACGTTGCGACCTTCTTCTCCAGGTTCCTTTGTGGAAAGGCGGCCTTCGCGTTGCCCTTGAATGCATGGGGGCCCAGCGAGGCGGAGGCGCCCGAGAAAGCTCGACGAGCCCTGCGGCGGCACGCGAGCGGTGCTGTCTTGATATGACCGCGGCCGGGGTCGGCGAAGCCAATGACAACCGGGCGGGCCTTCAGGTCGCCTGTCTCCTTGCGGGCGACGACCCATCTCATCTTCACCAGGGCGCCTAGATGGACTCCAGCCCAGCTGGCGGCCTCGCGCACCCGGTGTTTGAGGAGAGATTTCACTTCGTAGCTCTTCGCGGTCGGCATCTTGGCTCGTTCCTCTTCTGGAAGGTTATTCGGCTTCACCTCGATTTTGTTCTGCTAGACCATGGCCGCGAGGGCCGTGCCGGGCTTCCGGTAAAACTGATCCACGTCTGGCTCGTCCAGCGCGACATTGACCAAGATAGCCAAGTTCAGCTTTTCCTCGCTCACGAACATCACCAGATCTGATGGCTTCGCCTTCTGGTCGCGTAGCCAGGGTGCCGCCCAGCTGGCGTCGCCCTCCGACTCGGGCTCTGACCTACCGAACTCTGGCATGACGAGCGAGGGCGCCTTTTGGCACAGCTGGTTCACGTGGCCCGCGAAGTTGATGCGGTGTCTGTTTGTCTCGGGATCTCCACGAGGTTATTGACTAGCTTCGCGCTTGTTGAGACCATCGGGCGGTGGTTCGCTATCCCGCGAGCGCCGACCATCCGGATGTCCATCCGCTGGCGCAGGGACGGCGGTCTCAGGTAGGTCTCTCGGCAAGGGGGGTCGATATGCACCTGGAGCTTCTCCATCCAGATCTTGTGGGCCTGGTGCCTCGTAACCCCCTGTCTCGTCGGATGGTTGAAACAGTAGACGCGTTCGCCGGTGTCGGTGCCTCCGCGTCCTCCCCTTCTGGAATGTCGCCCCGATCTCCTGGTTCTGGCTGGTCGACGACGTTGTCTTGGGCACCTTTCGTCATTTCCTGCAGGGTCTTCCTGAAGTGGTCAGGGTTCCCCACAGAGATGCTTTCGAGGACCTGCTCTGCTTCCTTAGCTGTGCGAAGGTGAGCTGCGTCGGCTCGAACTGGATGATCACCGTCCACGAGCCAAGCAATGCCACGGCGCTCCGCAACTCCAGTCCTCATCTCGCTCTCCTTCATCAGGACCGTCGCTGGACCATGATATCGACCAGCATTGTCTGGTCGAGTCTTGTGGCTGTTACCTTTCGCTCCTGACCAATAGTGACCCTCTTTCTCCGGGCTCCCACGTCTTGAAGGGTCGCGTCTTCGCCAGCAGAGCGCGCTTCGTCTTCTCCGACAGGTAGTGGTCCACGCAGGCCCTGTACGCTGATGCCTTGACGCGCGCCACCTCCTGGAAGTGCTTGTCCGTCGCGCCCGCGCTCAGGACCGAGGGGTCTTCCTCGGGCTCCAATCCTTGCCTCGGCGGGGCGCGGCCCATCATCATCATCATCGTCATCATCAGCATCATCATCATCATCATCATTGTCACCATCATCGTCACCATGCAGAGACTTGTCGGCATTTCCGGAACAACCGTGGCCGCAACGCCAGTGCTCAAGTTCTTGAGGGGCATGCAGGCCCCGATTGAACGCCTTGCCCAATACCTCGCCAGTGGGGTCACTGCTGCGATCATTGCGCGGGGGAGTTCGTCTCCGTGCCCAGATTGCGCGTGCTCGCCCGCGCTGCATTGCCCCGCGCTGGAGTGCCGCTGCCCTGGCGGCGAGGGGCGCGTCGCGCCGAGGCCGCGGGGTGGTCGACAGAGCTCCTGGCGGCGCTGGTGGCGCTGGCCTTCTCCTACGGCGTCCTAGTGGGCGGAGTCTATGTCAACGAGTCTCCGACCTCGGCCGCCATGGTGCTTGGGGCACGCGACTCGCCTAGTCCGTCTGCGGGGGAGGCGCCCATCGCCACCCTCGACCTCGCATCGACTGCTGCCGCCCAGGCTCGGAGCTCCCGCCGCTGCTTGTCATCATGGCGGAGCCTCTGCCTGGCTAGCTCCACCTCGTCAGATGTAATATCGGTGGACCTGCCATCTACCATGGGAGATTGACCTTGCTGCCCGGCTACATCTTGACCCCCGATGGCGTCGACTACTTTGAGAGCGGCGTCGCTGGTGGGGACCCCCGCTCAGCGCACTTTCTCGCGGGTCAAGGCGAGGGGCTTCCTGGAGTTCTGCCTGACCACCTCCATCAGTTTCGCGAGCTCCCTCGCGCGGCATATGCGCGGGCAGCCCCTCGACGAGGAGTCGCCCGAGGGCGCGGCCCCCTTCCCGACTCGCCCTTCACCCTGGAGCTCAGCGCCACCAACGTCCTGGGCGCGGCGGTTGGGACCCCCGGTCTGCCCGACCCGCCGGCCGCGCCCCCCGCCCCCGCCGCGCTGCCCGCGTAGGCCGCGCTTCCCGCCGCCGCCGCTCATCCAGTCAGCGGCGGCCTTGGCGCGCTGGCCGCCGCGCTCGGGGGCGGCCCCTGCGCCCGCGGCGGCCGCGGCGGCCCCCGCAGGCGCTGGCGGGGCCCTCGCCCCCCCCGCGGCGGCGGCAGCCGTCGGCGACCCATGGGCGATGGCTCTCGTGCTCGACGGGCGGGGCCTCTGCGACGTGAGCTTCGGCGACGCGCTCAAGCTCCAGACCGAGACGGCGCGTGCCGACTGGCCCGCGACAGGGCCCGGGACCGTGCTCTGGGTCCTCGGCTTCATGCAGCGCATGGCGGGCGGCTCCGTGGCCTGGCGCACCCGCTGGTTGGCGATGATGCAGCTCGGCGAGGACGACGATAACGTCGGGCTGCATGAGACCACGTGCCGCGTGATCGAGACCGCGCTGCGCCGCGATCAGACTGCGATCTGCGAGCCGGCCTCCTTCGAGCACCTGGCCCGCCAGATGTAATTGGTCGAGGGGCCGGTTTTTCGAGGGGCGCGCGAGGAGGACGCAGCCAGCGCCTAAGGCGAAGGCGCTTGCGAAGAAGGCCAACTCGACCGACTTCGCCGCAGAGGTCGGACATTTCTTCGGCACTGGCGAGACGAAGGGCAACTTGTGCACCAGCCCCGCCCTGATGGACTGGATCGCGGATCAGATTGGGAACGAAGCGGCAGTGGCGAAGGAGTTACGCAAGGCTCGCGAGGAGCGAGCCTTGCGGGCGCCATGACTTACCCCGAGGACCGCTGACCAGGATTGGGCCTCGCGAGCACGCTGCTGTCGCTCTTGAGCCTGGTCAGTCATGCCCAGTGCCCATCAGGGCTCCGCCTGGCCTGGAGTCGCCCAAAGGTGTCGACCATCGCCAGCGCGACGTTTTTCCTCTGCCTCATCTTCCCGTGGATGGGCGTCGCCGCCAGCCCTTCGGACGCGCCGCTCGTCTGCGTGCCGCCAAAGGCGCGGGCTAGAGGGAATGGTGCGACGAGGGGTCGTCCGCTCTCAACTGGCCCCATTGCGGCAACGGCGAGCTGAGCGCGCCCAGGGGGGGCGCCCACGCGCCCGCGGTGCAGGCAGCCTCTGCGGGGTACATTGCGGGCAAGTGCTGCGATGTTGAGCTGCCCGCCTACTCGGAGAGGGGCAGCGCCTGCGAAGCATCACTCGTAGAGATGCTCGCCCAGGCACCTGGCTGCGCTGGCGACAGCGGTCGGGTGCGCCCCTGCAGCAAGTCACTTGTGGCCTGGTCTGAGTCGACGAAGGCAGTCTACACCGCCGACGTCGTCTCCGAGGCCGACTCCATCGCGCTGCAGGGCTGGAGGCAGATTTTGCTGAATCCCGAGTCGGCCGCGGCGGAGTTTCGGGAGTCGCTGGGGTTTTTGCGCACGCGCGTGGACCCAGGGCTTTGCCACCGGCCGAAGTCGCACGCCCAGTTTTTGAAGCAGAAGGAGGCCCACGCCACGACATGATGTCTTGGCAGGCCTCCATCTCCCAGGCCTCTTATACAATCGTTGCATTCTTCATGGAAAAGTCCAACCACAAGCTCAGGCTCGCATTCGACACGCGGCTGGCCAACTGTAGCTTTACGGTGCCGCCAGCCACCAGGTTTCCCAAGCCCAGCGCGCGTGCGAGTGTCGATTGCGACGACAGCTGTGTGTTCGCTCAGGGCGACATCCAGTGCGCTTTCTGGCATTTACGCTTGCCTGCCAGGATGGAGTAGCTATTGTCGCTGCCCGCGATCTCCAACATATACATCGGTCTCAAATCCACCAACGGAGTCCGCATCGGTATCAACGACTTCGTCCAGCCATTGGTGACTGCGGTTCCCATGGGGTGGAGCTGGGCCTTCATTTTTGCCAGAGTGTCTTAACTAGAGCCCTCTCCGACGTCGGTTTCCAGGATAGCGAGATGATTTTGGATGATGGCAGCCGTCGTCCGTTGGTCCCCCCGACTGACGAGCTGTGCGCAGGATATGTGGACAAGTTCTGTGTCGCGTCTAAGAGCCCCGAGATCGCCGCGCCCCTGCTCGCGGTCTGCCCGCCCTCGACATCTCGCCTGCCGTCAGCGCAGGGGTTTCTGCAGACTTACATATCGACGGGCTGCCTGGGCTTATCCGCGGGCGTCCTGATCGGCTCGCCCGCGCCCGCCAAGCTGTTCTTGGGCGTCTTCGACGTGGGCGGGCCTCTTCTCGGGCCCTCAGCGCGTTGGTCGGAGACTACGCGCGGGGGGGTGATCTTGAGACGGGGCGTCCTGGCCATCTTCAATGCCATCATCGGTTCATCGGTATTGCGGGGCCTCTGGGCCCTTGTGGGAGTCACTAGTCAGGGGGTCGAGGGCCGCGGTGGCCGCGATCCCGCTTTGGAGTACCTCTACCAGATCTCGGTGGCATTCACGGGCCTATGCTTCGGACGCTTCAACGTTCGGGAAGGGGGTGTGCATCGAAGACGTCTCTCCTGAGCTAGCTTCGCAGGTGGACCGTGCCGCTGAGAAGTGGAGGTGCCGCCAGGGGTCCAGTGTGTCCGCCAGGTCCCATGCTTTTGAAGCAGATGGCCCCCGTCCCGATGCTGCTGATACTCGTCATACTGCCACGCCGCCGCCGTCTACGCCATCATCGTCAGCGGGCTGTCCTGGGTTCCTGGAGGTTCCTGAGTCCGTCTACGGGTTCGAGGGCTGGAAGACCATTCGCTCGAGCCAGCACGCCCGCTCAGGGCGTGGTATCTTGCAGTGCGAAGCCGAGGCCCTGGGGTTCAGCGCCCGCGCGCGTCCAAGTCCATGGGGGCCCATCGCCATCGCGTCGTCTGCATCCTTGACAACTTGGCCCTGGCCCTCCCCGTCGGGAAGGGGCGCCCTGGCAGCCCGCGCCCGGCGCGCGCCTTGAGGCGCGTCGCGGGCGCAGCGTTGGCACGCGGTTCCCGCGCGCTGGTGAGCTGGGTGCCCCCTGAGAGGAATGTCTCCGACAGGCCGTTGAGGGAAGGCTTTTTCGTCGGCCCGAGTTTCGAGGACTTCGCCTCGGCCCAGGTCGCGCGTCGGCCGCGGCACCCCGAGCGAGGTGATCAAGGCGGCGAGGGAGCGGTCGGTCCATCCTGGGCCCACCAGCCTCCTGCGCGGCGGCTTGTCGGTGCAGGGGGGCTCCGCGGTCTCGGTGACGACGGGAAGGAACTGCCGCGCTTGCGCCCAGAAGTTTTCGAGCTGGTGCCTGTGGATCGCGAGGGGCTACAAGGGCAGCGCCGAGCTCGACATCGGCCTGGCGGCGTTCTTCGTTGACTTTTCTCGACGGCTACGACAGCGCGACGGGCCGCGCGACGATGGCTGCGCTCAAGCACCACCTCCCCTCGATGCTGGCGGGGAGCAGGCCGCTGCCCAGGGCGTTTCGGGCCCTCCAGGGCTGGGCCAAGCTCGCGCCGCTTCAGATGCGCTTACCACTGCCGCATGTCGCCACGTTCGCGATCGCGGGCGCGCCGCTGGCCCAGGGTGGCCTCTCGGAGGCCACCTTCGCGAGGCTCGCCTTCGACGCCTGCCTCCGCCCGAGCGAGGCCTGCCGCCTCGCCGCCGCTTCGCTGATCGCGCCGCGGGTCGGGTCGACGGAAGGCCACCGGCACCGGCCCATCCTCGTCGACGACGCGGCGAGCGGCAGGCCTGGCAAGACGGGGGCGACAGACGAGAGCGCGATCGTCGACGATCCGCAGCTCCGGCCTCTCCCCGAAGCCCTTCGGCAGGGCCGCCGTCCCGATGCCAGCTTGCGGAGCTCCCCCCCCGACCAGGTGCGCCAGGCGCTCAAGAATTCACTGGTTCAGCTCCAGCCCGACGGCGAGCAGACCTCGCTGTGCTCGCTGCGCCGCGGGGGGGCGCCCGACGACCCACTCTCGGTCCGTCGGGCGAGGAAGGAGGTGAAAGACCGAGGCCTATGGGGGACATATCTACCGTTAAACACACATGTCAAGCGCGCTCGGATGCTGCGGCTTTCGGGGCAGCTCTCACCCGCCCTCGTGGATTTCGGGGACAAGGTCGCACAGGGCTTCCTCGATCTGATGGAGGCGCAGGCCCGCGCGGGCATCTCCCCTCCGCCGCTGCCGCCGCCCCTCCCCTGACCGACCAGTGGTCCTTCGCGAGGCGGCTGTGGAGACGGGCTTGACAACGCGCTGCCATCGTGCCGCCCCATGTCATATTGCGCACGTGTGCGCCGAGTCGCATGCGCCGAGCTTGCGAGACCTGTGGGCTCGAGGCGGCGGCCATCAACCTTGCTCGGCGCCGCCGAGACGACGCTGGTGATCCCTTGGTACTGATGGCGCTGATGGCCTGGGTCCGCTCCTCGGCGGCGCTCGGAACGTGGGCCGTCCTTCCCACTGCCACATGGAGGGTCGGAGCCGCTCGAGTCCGCCGCCGCGACTCACTTCTGGAGGGGGCCGCGAGCGCAGAGGCCGACGGGCGGGCCATCCGCGCTGCGAGCTATCAGATTTATTTGGGGTGCATTTCCTACGGGGCGCCGATGATTTCTGCGCGCCCTGAAGCCAGCTTGACATGGAAACATCCCGTCGTGTGCCTCTCCTTTCCTCCGCCTCCTCCTGGCGCCCCCTCGGCCCCCGTATGCGCATGTTTTCTGGCCGATTCCGGAAAAGGATTTCCATGGTAGGTGGGGGCGTCACGGTTTTCGGCCGCCTCGCGCGTCGTTGCCGCTGCCCCCGCGGCCTGCGCGACCGCGCAAGGCGTCGCAACTTGGGGGGCCTTGGTCGTCCAGCTCTGGGCGCCATCGCCCGGGCTTCGGCGCGCGGGCTCCACTCTGAAGTGGCCAGCGCTGGCGCCGACATGATAGCGGCCGCCGCGCGCCAGCTGTCCCGTGCCGCAAGATATAAGGCAATTGTTGGACGATATGTGGTTGGTCTGTGGCTATTTGTCGTCTGGACTAGCGTGTGGTGCTGAGTCCGTGCGTCGCCTGCCGTCGCCTCGAGCTCGCGGCCACCCTCCGCCGTTCGCACAAAAAGGAAGAAGATGGCCCCGACCCGTCCACATACAGCGACTTGCTGGCATTTGTGGAACAATCGCGGCCGCAACACTCACGCTCAAGTTCTTCCCGACCCTCCCGCCCCTTGAGCGCAAGAATGTTCCGTTTCACCGAGTCTGGTGCTTCATTTGCTGTCGCCTCGAGCTCGTGGCCGCCCTCCGAGTCTGCGCTTCACCTGCTGTCGCCTCGAGCTCGCGGCCGCCTTCCGCCGCTTGCATAAACAGGGAGAAGATGGCCCCGATCCATCCACAGCATCATCATCATCGGGCTGCAGCCTTGATGTCGCATCGGCGTGGCCGGCGTCATTTGGCATCTCCCAGGAAAGGCCGGTCGTAATCTCATTGGTCGTTGCGACGCACCACTCGATAACGCCCATCCGCCAGTGAGCCTCCCCGGGCTCAGGTTTCCATTCCACCCCGCGACCTGAGACCCAGGCGCGCTGCTCAATATGCTTAAAGGTTCCTTCAGGATCAGTCCTGAGGACCGCTGGCTTGCCATAGTGATGAATCCATTTTTCCAGTACCGCACCCCTCATTTCTGTCGCCGTGGTGTTGCCGCGATGTTCCTCGACTCCCTTCTGGCAATGCATGGGCGTCTGCCTCAAGCGACTGCCGTAGTCCGCGCGCAGAGTATCTCTGATTTGGTAAATTCGTCGAGGATGTGCCCAGTAAAAGTTATCGCAATTCATCTCGATTCCAGGGGGGGAGTGACGGCTCTGAGCGGGCAACAGGGCGCATTTGGAACTTCTGAGCCGCCTTGCATGCTGGACAGTCGTAATGGCTGCAGAGATCGATGGGCTTGCGATCGGCGCTCCGAGTGCGTAGTGCTGCGCTTGCCGCGCTCCAGTTGCAATGCCCGAAGTTCCGGTGAATATGGGCAATGATCGCCTCCATGTCTCGCAGCTCTGCCATGGTGCAGTTTTGGGCGCTTCTCGGCAATGGCATCCCCAAGTTGCCTAACATCCTCTCTTGGACTCCTGATTCGGACCTCGGACGTTCGGTCTCGCCTTCAGGGGCCCCCTCGGCGCCTCGACCAACCACTGGAACAGGATGCGAGACTGGGCCCGCAGACCCCGCTGTCGGAGTCTCCGAGGCCGCGGGCTCCAGCGCAGGCCTCTTTCGCGGAGGGGGCGGCGGTCCTTCGGCGGGAGGTCGCTTGGATCTCAGAGGGCGGAGCCCTGTCGCGAAGGCGCCTTCGTCCTGCTCGTTATGGGCCTTCACCAAGTAGGCCAGGGCCTCGTCAGAGGATGTCTTCTTCATGAAATATTCAGCAATATTCCGACACGTTCGCCGGACAGTTCGCAGATAGGGCTACCCGAGTACCTCTTCCCAGCGGCACGTATATATGTGGCTCTGGACAAATACGACCGATGTTCTTGTTAAATTGCTCGCCGGTGGTTGCGATGTACCCCTCTTGTCCTAGTATGGCACCGCTCTTCTCATTTCTCAT